TCGCTGATGCAGTGGGAGCGTATGCGACTGCTGTGCTGAGGTCTCGGTTCGATTCCCGGGTCGGACCAAATGGACGGACCGAATCCGATAACTCAATTTCAATGCAATTTCTTTAAGTAGGTGTACAAAGTGTGTAAAACTTGAAATTAGTCCTATTGAAATTTAGTGCATCTACTCAAAGGGTAGAAAAAAATTGGAGGAATGATTGTTAACCCACTGAGTCTGCACAAAATGCAATTTAAAAATGTTTCGGTAAAGCAAGCACCGACTTAAACCTCTAGGTTTAGGTATTTATGAAATTGTAGGTGTTTCGTTACGCAAAAGCGTAACGAAACACCGAAAATTAACTTAAAAAAGTTAATTTTTATTCTTTCACATGTTAAAATTTTGTTAAATAGTATTTTATGTACACAATATTTTAACTTCGCACCCTTCAGTGTATGGTTTATGGTTCTCTGCTATGTAATATGTTTGAATAACATTAAAACATAGCACCTACTGTCTCAACCTTGTAATGGCATGAAGCGATTACTTGCAATTTCCTTTACTCCGTATCAAATGAGCGCCATAATTACTGACCTGAAAGATTATTAGATATGATTTACTTAGTATACACTCTAAATTAGAAAAAATATATATACAATATACATTGCAACGTGTCTACTACAAAAAATATAAATGAGTTGTCTTTTGGTTATAAATGCTCAATCTCAAAGCAAGGACAAAAATAGAGCCCTTTTCTTTTTCTTTGTAGTATTTTTGATTTCAACTAACGCGGAGCGAATAAATAAAGAAGTAAACGAGCTTGCCCCTCTTTAGTTAATCCTTTGGAAGTAGTCTACGTCTGACATAGTTCTCAGAGCCACAATCAGAACAGTGGTTTTTAAGGCTTTGAGGAGGAAAGAAATGCTTTACTAAAAATTCATACAATATTCTATAGATGTATAATTTTGTAAAGCTCTGAAACAATCTCTAGTATACGTGAACAGCTTATATTGTTGTAGCTAGACGACAGCATAGCTGCTGATCAAGAGTAGATAGATGACTAGTAAAAAGAAGAGTTCTATAGAATGTTGATAAGTTTTTTTATTTTTGAAATTTTCTTTAAAATAGTCAAATTTAACTAATAATAAAATCTACCGTCGTGGGCACGTGTTCCTTGACTCTTGGGTAAAACCGCTACTGCTTACGAATATCAAAGTTTAGACAAAAATCAATTGAATTAAAATGGTTTCGAAGACGATGACAACATAAGCAACTAGCCTCAAACAAAATTGTATCACAAAATACAAGTGCTTTCCTCACAGAGAGAGACCGTGTAGAACGTCCTCAATATTTGATGCTGTAACTAAATTAAAAAATTAATTGACTTAATAAAAAATAAGAAAGCAAAGAGCGTAGCACGTCCAATACATTCCGCTCTACAAATCACACCGCGGAATGTTCTTGAAAAAATGGTGTATAAATCAAGGTTAATGTCGATCTATAGATAACGCACGTCGTGAATAAACTCGTCAAGTTGTAGCTATCAATAATATTTCATCTATGCATCTTTGTTACGACGAAAAAGCAGTGATAGATAATGCTTTTATATATGTGATGAAAGATTCAAGAATTTGGTTAATAAATACTTTAACATCGTTTGCTTTTGCAACAAAAATGAAGAAAATCGCATCCTTCGCTTATCAGGGAGTATTTTTTGTAGAGCCTTAAAAAAGGTTTTGTTTGTTGTTGTGACAACAACTCTGGGTTAGCAGACAGGATTAACTAACCACTAAACGACTAGACAAAACTAGAAAGTAAATCACTATGCCTTATAGTGTAACTTAAGTAAATGTAATGAATTGTGGCTCGTATTACAGCTCTGGACGCTTCTACCTCAGGAAATCAGAATAGCATTCAAATCGCCTTTCGTGCAGAGCAAAGGTTCGAGCTCTCCTCACACGTAATACAGCACGATCATGATAAAATTAACAGTTTACAGGTTTTGTTATGTTTGTATCTAGGTACATATACCATATATGTAAAATTGTAAGTGTATGTAGATATATTTATTATATTTTTATATATTTATATAATCTAAACCTTGTTAGATCTTGTTTCTAGAATGTATTTTCATTCTTCTGTTCTATAATTTTCTCAAATTTCTTTCACTGCCTACTCACCTATATTTATACCACAGGTTGAGAATGGCTACGGCATTAACAATTACATTGAACGGCATTGTATGATATATTTTTGAAAATCTTTCACGTTACGTTGTGGTATAAAATTCTACATCCACTAATGTGGTTTCTAATGAAACCCACTTTTCTTTCAACATATTCTTAACATTTTTTTAAATATGTGGCTTATTACAAATAAGTGCAAATGACATTTATTGAAAATTAATTAATCAATGCGGAAATAATTGGATACTTGTCTTGACAATATAAGAAGTCAATTTGACCCACCAAATATGTAGATCTCGAATTGATATGCAGAAAGGAAATCATAATAAGTATTTATTTCATTGCTTATAATTACATGCGATTGCCGATGACGACTTGATGGGATTCAATTTTACGCAACTAATTTTAGTGGACCACAGATTTGGTGCTTTAGAATGTGCTTTTTTATCGAGCGCGTAGCGAAAGGACAAAGTTTTTAGTTTTGCTTTTTTAAATTATTTAATTATCATTCACTTAAAGTTCCTATTAGTCTATTCAGAATAAAATGTACCTAATGTCAAAAATAATAATTAAAACATTACAATTTATTTACTATATACATACAGATCTGTGTACATATTTTTCGGCAGTCAACCCCTAGTAAAAAGTTGCAGTTTGAGTTATTTTATGTTGAATGTTTAAAGGATATCTTTTCCAATAGACGAGTACAACTAACGATTAAATTGTTTTTAAATTCGAGGCAAATAAGAAACTAAAATAGAACGTTGGTGCTTAGAGAGGGGAAATTCTTAAATGAATAATGTTTAGAGATACTTATGGGGTTTCCAGGGATCTTTAAGATTTTTTTTATGGTACGTATATCAAATTCTAAACTTATCTACCTAATTAACTTTCACAAAAACTTTTAAAAATATTGTAGATATTAAAAGTTGGTTGAGACTGTCAAGAGCCACCGGTCAAGCTGAAAAAGTTATGCAAGTCACTATTGCGTTATGTTATCATAATGTGCATAAGTACTAAGAATTAAACCTTTTTCAATCAATAAGTATCCATATACAATTGACTGCTAAGTGACCCTTTCTTGTAAAAGCCTGATCTTGAATCCCAAACATGTCTAATAGAAGCAGAATAACATAGTATTTATCTTTATAAAGGTCTTAAAACTATCCATACATAGAAAATTTAATAGTAACGAGAAGTAAACAAGTATAAACATACTTGTTTATTAAGAAGTATATTATTTTCAGATCGATATTTACCTTGATTTAAAAAATATTTTCCAACAAACATTCTTAGGTGTAATTAATCGAGCAAAACTTCATTAGACGTGTGACATAATATATTTTGTATAAGTAAAATTTTTCGTTTTCAAAACTACGCCTAGGTCAATTCTTAGAGATTTAAAGAAGTTCCAGTCAAGAAGAACCTTTATTTAAATACCAAGGCTTACACTATTTCGATATTGCAAAATTATATCTCTGCTGTGGAAGAACCTTCAGCAATTTTCAAAATGATGGGATGACCCAAAAAAGTTAATTATGACAGAGTAGATCAAGCTACTTTCCAGTTCACTTTTGTTCAAGGCAAAATAGCCGTGGGTCGAGACAGCTTTTTATATTATCGCGCGACACACCTTACTTTCGAGGTGAACTAGCAGTTTTGACTCTTTCGTACCAGATGTAGTGAAAGTTAAGTAAACTAATACAATAGGATGGTTGAAAATAATAATGATGTTGCGATATCAATAGCATAAATACTTTAATATTATTGGCTGCTAAATACTTTAGTATATTATTGACTGCACCGATGGCGCAGTAGTTTAAGTGGTCACCTTGCCGCTTCCTACTTCTATGAAGTTCGATTCCCACATGGGACAACACTCCGTGTGATCATCAAATTGTTGTTCTAAGTCTTGTTCATTTCTCGAGTCTGAGTTGTTTAATTAATGTTTGCGACACAGTATATATTCCTAAGAAGCCCATAAACGATCTAAGTGACGTGCAATGGTAGAGGCCTATGTCCAGCAATGGACTGCGATAGGCAGTCCAGTGCTGGACATAGGCCTAGTGACACTGGACATAGGACATAGTGCCGGAGTTGTTTTTTTTAGAACAAAAATAAAGGCGTTAGGTAATTATAAAAAAATATGATGTTAAATTTTAACGACTATCGGATACCATTGAAGAAAAAAGGGACATTAATGTACATTGCCAGATAAATATACTTATATTAAAAGTAAGTAAGTAAAAGTAATTAAAATAAAATATGAATAAAATAAAATATTTCGAAATGCCTACAGATGTTCTATTATATATGTGTCTTCAGAACTGTACATAAACTACACATTTCGTTAAAACCACTTCTAATTATCACCACTATAATATCTCTGACATGACGTTACTAAACAATTGCATATTATGTTAGCAACTTGTTTACTCGTGTTATAGTAGTTTTTAAGCCAAGTAAAATATTATTTTCTGTTTTTATTCTGAACGAATACTCAAAATACTGCTTGCACCGCGGCGACAATTTCGTGCGTTGAAGTCAATGAGGCCTGAAGCGTTAGATGACCAGCATAGAATTACCCTAGACTTTGAATTTCATATTAAATCTTAGGTACATTATAAAATAATTGAAATTTCAAGATTACCCGAATAGTAGTGATGAAGTAATTTTTAAATGAAGAATATATTTATTTAAAATTAAGTTATTTAGTTAGTAAGTAAGTTATAAAGCGTAGTTGATTTCATTTCTCATTTGACATACACATGTTAGTTAATTTTCTTTAATTACTTACTTAATTTACGATATGCTTTTTATTTGTTACAGATCTTACAAGCCTTCGCCACATCGCTACCCATACAAAATCGGTACGGTATGGCCGTCATCGATAATGATCAAAAATCAATAAACACATCACCTGAAGTTACAAAATATGACGACACATTAGATTCGGGAAAAGAGCAAATTATATCTGTAAGGATTACATCATCAGTAGCGGTCGGAAGAGGAAAAGAGAAATTACCTTACAAACCTATGCAAAAGTCTGAACCTGAGATAAAGCACACTCACTCAGAAATTCTATCTGCAGAAACGGCCACTGAAGGGGCCATCAAGGAACTCACATCAGATCAACGGCCAGGTCTCGTAGGTGCTAATATCGAGTACATTAAGCAATTAAACGCTAAAAAGGAATCTAAAGGTCACACCGAAGAGTCATATTATCCAAGTGAAAATGAATCTAATCCAACCGAAACTCCTACAAATATTGAGGAGTACGATGAGGATATCAGAGATATTCCAACCGCTAGAAAAGTACCTTCTACGTCCAAGGATAACCGATTTTACACATTCAAAGATAATCGTGAATTTGAACTAGATAATATTAAAGTACCAGTAGAATTCGGACTGGGTAAAAATACAAACTCTAATAGAAGTGTAATTAATGAAACAATTCCACAAATAACAGCTCAGCAAAAAAATACAAAAGAGATACGAGACATGAACGCTTTTGTGTCTGATAGTGATAATTACCAAATTGACGACTCTATAGCAGAATCTTCTATAAAGTCAATAGAATTCGCAAAAACAGCAGCAACAGATACGCCACCGACCAGTTACTATCACAGTTCATCAAACGGACACCTTAAAAATGAACAAAGTAATTCAAGACTAACCACCGTTAGTTTTAATATTGTTCACGACGTATCAAAACCATATAACAACAACGATCGTGGAGAATCTTATGTACCTATAAGTGTAACCAACCAGCACCAATTTTATTCCCCAAAAATTTATAGTCAACCTTCACAAATATACAGTGAACCTTCAAAATTTTACAGTGAACCGTCTAAAATTTATAGTGAACCTTCTAAAATATATAGCGAACCTGCGAAAGTGTACAGTGAACCCGCAAAGATTTACAGTGAACCTGCTAAGTTTTATAGCAAGCCTGCTTCTTTACACTTGGATCACAATGTTCCTCAAGTACCCCCAACCTCCCTTCCTAATTACCCTACATGGCAAAGACAACCTCCTCGGCCAGTCGGAAGCAGTAATACTGTAAACACTACTCCAGGTAGCACAATGACTCACTCATATCAAATGAGCAGCACACAAATAGAACATCAACCGGAGAGAAATTACGAAGTGGAGGAAAATATAAGTGTTATAACCGATGGTAGAAGTCATAGCGTACAAGAATCAAGTACTGAAAAATGCAAACAAGATAATTGTAAAGTGGGTTATGTTGTTGAGGGGCGGCAATACAAGAAATACAGAGTAGAAGAGAGAACGTCAGACGGCTTCATTGTCGGTGAATACGGTGTAGTTAGGAACGAGGATGGTGCATTGCGGGGCGTGCGCTATACCGCCGACAGTGACGCCAGCCCTCGCCTCATACACGACGCGCTTATGAAGTTCCTACAGCTCAAATAGGTGTTAATGCTTACGTGTCCGATTTTTATCCAAAATGAATCAACAAATAAATTACTTGCTCATTTAATTAAGTACCTATACATATAAGAGTATAACTATATGAATAACCAACAATAAAGGTATATTTTAACAGTTAACTATGTATAATAAAGACTGAATGATTACACTTATTTAAAACGCAAATCCATGTAACTCCAGTTTCGTACCTTTATTTGTAGTAGAGTTCCCAATGATAAATATCTTAGATTACACAAAACTATATCAAATTATGTATATTTAGTTAAACCGTTGAACGTGTATATAAAACTACCTATATACTAATAATTAAACTTTGCTCATCATACTACTTCTGGTGCCATTTTTAAATCTACGGGAAATTATTGTATTAAAGTAATACATAGTAACTGTCTGGCTCGTGTATTACTTAATAATTATTGTATTGTACATAAATAGGTAATTTACACACAGTAATAAGTAAAATATCGATGAATTCGCGATTACGTCTTTTATCATTTATTTTAAATAAGTTATAAACGACCATTTCTCTTAACTAACATATTCGACAGCAATACATGAAGCACAAGCATTTCATTGTGTATATGATTATTAACAAATTAATTTCCTTCATACGTGTATTGGTTGTTCCCAACTTGAGTTACATGTAAACTACATACATTTGTAGTTATTGTTGAAAGTCAGTTGATAAATAAACAAATAATAAATTACATTCTGAGTCTACAGAATAATGGCATACTGTATTTAACAAGTACTGAAACAAGTCAATGTGCAAAACTTATATACAGGTTCAAATGGAAATGTCTTCATTAGATTTGGTATATGATCGAAAAAAAGTATTTGTAAAAAGATACAATCATTAGGCATTATTAAATAAATTATTAGGCTTATGCAGTTTTTGTTAAAACCAATTTGGCCATGGGATACAAGATTTAAAAAATAGTTTGTAAAATTATTATCCAGAAAATCAAATAAACCAAATCCGTTAAGTTTGCAAGCAATAGATAGATATACTAGAATCCCAGAAAGGAGAATGGCAGATCCTGTACTCCTAGTAATATATTGTGATGGATGATTATGAAATTTGTACCGTTTATAAAGTGAGTCAACCTAACAATTTTCGTGTAATTATTATATTTTTAGAACTTTGCTAAAAGTAAATAAATTCTTCATCAAATCAAATTACAACTGCAATAACTAAACGTTCAAGTGTTGTTACCAAAACTCATTCCCACGTTTTCTAAACTTGCCATGCATAAAATATAAATTACATAAAAAAATAAAAGTTTAAATCGAGATTCATTGATGAGCTTACTAGTATTTAAAAGTTAAAAACAAACATTTCTTTATAAATAATGTTGACTGTACAGATAAGACGAAGTAATAAAGGAATCTTTAATTTAAATCAATTAATTTAGGGAAAGGTAAGTACTAATATCTTTCATTCAATTTCAATTCGATTAGTTTAATTCCATAAATAGTTCAATTTTAATTCAAATCAAATTCGATTAGATTAATCATGAACAGTATGTAAAAAAAGTAATTAAACTGATTTGACAGGGCAAAATTTTATTAAAGCATCATGAAAATCATAAACGATTGATTTGAAAGATATCTAGGTTAACTTATAGACACCAATGACAACTAGTTTGTGACATCTAGTTGTCATTGGTATCGACTTCAGTACAGTCTGTATGCAAACTACAAACTGAAAATACTTTTGAACGCAAACTTCTAAAAATCTATTAATTAAAACTGTAATTGTTGATGATATTACCAGCCAAATAAATCCAACAATAATGCCTACCATGAGATACGCAAGGCGGTACAGAAGTCCCATACATTCCTGCCATTGTCCTTTATAAACATTAACATTGAGATGTGTTTGGACAAAATGACGCTGGAGTTGGTCAAATTTTCGAAATTATAGGACCTTATCATGCGATCATTGAAAAATTAGAGAATGAGAATTGCTGGAATTACTTTCATGCCGTAAAGATATCTTAATGATACTCTTTCTTGGAATTAATCAATTTAAAATATGTATAACATAGCTATGAGACCAACATCATTAAGCTGTGGCTAAGTATATTTCGTTAACAAGCATAACAGTAGTTAAACTATCAAGACGTCATAATGTACAACAATACTGACTGCACAAATGTTTTGCTCTACATGATTATAATTTTTAACCCTAATTCTTATAACTAATGGTACCTTTCGATAAGTTTACATGTAAGTTATTAAGTAAAGACTTTCAACTATGAATAAATAGGATAATTAAGGACAGTAAACATTTAGTTATGATATTTAGTAGGTAACCTTACAGAGATAGACATTGATAATTTAATAGATATGTGTATAATTGGAACATTAAATATTCAATTCAAGCTTCCGAGGTTTATGCATACTATAAAAAGTTATATAGTGATTCTCAAAAGCGATTATTTACGTGTACCAATAAATATATATAAATTAACAAACAACTTGTTTGAATACGTATTAAAACAGTGTTGTTTGTAAACTTTTTTCTGCAGTTCAATGGAGTTACAAGAGTTCCGTGTGAAATATAAGTGGTCGGCAACGCATGCGTTTTTTTCTGTTGGTCGCATACCTACCTTATAATATCGCCCTGCTGTACAATGACAATTCATTTGATTTTTTTACAAAGTCAGGCAATACAATTATCTTAAATAGTCTAAATATAGTAGTTCATTTTTCGTTTAACGTTTTTAATTAATTTTAAGTGATTTGACTTGACAATCATCTTGGCCATTGCCGACCACACACAAACGAAACAGACGAGAGACCACAGACGGCTCTATTTACGCTCTAGGAATAGGAATACAGTTGTACAGGATCGTTAACATAGATCGTTACTCATAATTTTAACATCGAAGAGTTGAAATTATCACTTCGTTGCAAAGATGATCAACACAGTAAACTTAGCAGTAGTTTAGTAGGTATGCGTTTTTTAATTTACTTAACATCGAATATAGTTAACAGATAACTGTCTAAACTCGATTAACAATAATTATTCAAAGACATGAATATGAAACATATTTTTCCGACAGTTGTTTTAAACCACACATGAGACATTTTTTTTATACTTCTGGATTTATCTGTATTCAGGAATAGATTTCTGAATAGGTAGGTAAATAAGTATTCAAATCCAAAAGTATGTAAGTCACACTGGGGTAATTCCTACTGTAACAGCAGCAGACAACCTACATTCCATTGTTAGTAGTTCACTGTTTTGAAGTAAGTATCTTCAGCAAGTACCTAGCTTCACAATTTACTTATGGTCATAACAGCCCAGGTTCCTCAACGTATTTGTTGATTTTACATTAGTAGATAATTATTGTAAGTAGTAATTACCTATCTTACGTGTATACGAAAAAACTACATCAATGCAGAAAACTAGTTTATCCTATTTCAACACAGAAAGCAAACTTTTGATAATGCTACGTGCATTCATTATCAACAATAACCGTTCGTGGAAGCACATCAAATCAATAGTACCAACGAACCAATTCTCTGTCGACGATATACTTGTATTTTGATATTTGAAACTAATTTCATTCCATTATTGTGTTTTCGTATAATGCCACGCGTGTCCTTATTGCGTTAAGCTGGGGTGCCAAATGAATGGCACTGACTTCTCAAAAAGATTTGTACTCTCCAGTAACTCTCAATTTGATTTGCACTCCACAGTTTTTAAGATGTGGTTTCAATAGTGTTAGACTTTCAATAATAAATATCGTCAACAAAGAAACAGAACGTTTGTCATGGTCCTTAAATTTATGACTACCGGCATTATCACAATTTTGCTAATATAATTTGTGCAACAACATAACTGGAGCCAACACCTAGTATCCGCTTAAGACATACAACACATTTGCATTCCTGTCACCTTTTTAAACACGCGTTATAAAAGGGAACAATCGACGGTCAATTTTAATCTTAAAATATCTTGAAAACACCCTAGAGCTGATTAAAACTGTTAATCAAAAAAACATATTACGCAAAAGGAAAACTATACTATAATAAGGGAAAATACTTGATGACATATGGTTCTCTTGACACTGGTTTTTAAGAAAGCAACGTTTTATTTTAAGAAATAACTATTACAAAGCGATTGACATAATAAACATTGATTCAACGGAAATTGTATGCCTGTAATGGCAACCTATCTTCAGTAATATTTTTTAACAAGTAAATAATAGTACTTTGGAAATAACTTTACAATACGTAAGTTCTGTATCATATGTAGATATAATCCAACAAAAAATCATAAAAATTCAATGACAATAGTGATTACGATTGGCGGTAAAGAGGGTCTTTTTGAAATCCTTTATATATCCTTTAAATAAACACTCGTATAATGTTAAAGCATATAATAAATAATCAGCAAATAACAGGAACTAAATTGCTTTACATACACACAGAGAAAACTGCCAGTCATATCGAAACGTGAATGTTATATAATATATTTAATTACAAGTTATGAAGTTACAGAAGGAACATTAATCATGGTGTACATTCGAAACTTTACATTGCAAATAATAGCTAAATATTCTATTATTTTGGTGCAGAACAACTAGCTTAAATAAAACCAAAAAAAAGCAAAACAGTAGTTTACATAAAGCAACGCACTTACTTTCGAGTGTAGTTTTTATTTAGTCAAGAAATTTGAGAATCTTGACTGATGATAGATATATAATTTTAAATTTAAAAAAAGGAATCATTGTAACTAGGTTTCAATAAATAAAAGTACAAAATAATAATATTAGTACCATAGACTAAAATGCTCTGCTCGTGTAAGTAACATTTAGACCTTTAGCACAGTAGTATGTGCAAACGGTATCTTCGTAGAAGAATCCACTGTCAGAAAACAAGATCCGGCCACGATTAGTCGTAAGTCTCCGACTCCTGCTGCACCAGCTTGAAGCGACGAGGACTCTTGACTGACACTGAACCGTGGCCATCTAGAGAAAGCCGACCCTTCATCTGAAGATACCTGAAAAATTACGGACTTCTAAAGTAGCTAACTCTTTTGCATGGTAATTAAAATTTATGGATTTTTTATGAATTAAAATATTGTCACAACTTCTACCTTACCTTTTAATATAACGACAGACAAGCTTTGTCGGACGCTGCTGCCATTCATCCAGCACCTCTTTTGGCGCTAAGACCTGTAATAATATTGTATTTTGATGAGATTAGTCTTACACATTATTTATTCCTCAGTTTAATTTCATGACATATTCAATTCAAAAGCCATTCAACACACAGTACATTGGTACTGTTAATGACACTTGTAATTATAAACATTATTATTATTATTTATAACTTTGCCCACTCAAATATCATTATTTATTATGGCAGAATCAGTTTTATTTAAATAAATTCACGCGCTTATTGGTTAGTTGATGTTTTTTCTTTGTCTCGGTATAATTTATTTATTTAGACATAAAAGTGTTTCATCAACAGTGTGTGAGTTCAACAGTCTGACCATTAAAGACTCTAAGTAGTTTGACATCGGACACCGGTTTGTGAGATGTTTCAAATTATTGTTAGTTATTACTAAAATTTAAAACACATAATGCACCTGATCTCCTTTAAGCCTATCAAGTAGCGTGACACAGATCACGGCTGCCTTAATTCCGGCATGATGTGTCAGGGCAGCGAAGGCTAGAGATTCCATTTCAATATTCACAACTCCTGACTTGTGGATGCTCTCCAAATACTCCATCTTATCATTCTCTGTAAAGTCGCAGAACGCTCCGTCCAGACGACCCTGGCCTGAATTCGTAATTTAAGTAATATTATTAGTATTTGGTCTGACCTAAAGAGACGGGTAATGTTACTAAAAAAGCAAGTTTGTAATAACGAAATACTATTGAATCATAGCTGGTGTTATACCGGTCATTGCCTGAATTTCGTAATTTTCTTATCATACTTTAGTGAGTAGTAGTAGAATAAATATTCTACTACCCGTGTGTGTTGTAAGAGCATCTGGCGAGCGTGGTATAGTAGGCCATAACCTTCTTTCTATGAAAATGCCTATGTCCAGCAGTGGAGTATTAAAGGCTGTTAATGATGATGATGATGAACATTGTGGTTTAGTATATTTCGGTAGTCACTTACCTTCGTAGAAATCGTATGTGCACATAGTTTTACCGGTGATGGTGTCATACGGATCTTCAGGGTCAGCCAGCGCCTTCAGCTCACGTACCACTCGTTTATCCAGCTTCGCAGGTCTCTGAACTATCTTGCCTAAAACTGTCTGTAAACAAAAATAAATATTTAAATACACTCTCGCCAGATATAATGTGGTTCCAGTCCCATAACACAGGGCAAGCTCATCGCCTTCAACCAAAGGCTTTAGAAATTGTCAGATTGAATTGAATTTGAAAGACGGATATAAAAAAGAATATAAGCTATAAGAATGTTTTTGGAAGGGAATCAATATTTCGATTTGCCAAAAGGTCAAAGCCCTCTAACATAATATTTGCACAAAAAAGTTTTTTATATTATCCCCAATATTTATCGGGAAAACGTCATCGAGAGTCGAAACAAACTTCCTAAGCTTCGCTTAGGAAGTTTCAATTTCAGACACTATGGTTTCCCTAACTGCCTCAGACAGTATCGGAATCCTAGACATTGATATATCGAGCGAAGTCCAGTTTCGGGGTCACTTAGAGGGTAAGGTCAACTTAGCCTCGAAGAAGATCGAAGAAGAACATCGAGGCAGTATTTTACTCCGGCCCACCGCCTCCATTTCTATGAGGCGGAAGTCCAGTCGCATGTGGAATACTGTTCTCATCTCTATGCAGGGGCAGCCCAGTACCAGATTCTCCCTCTGGACCACATCTAACGAAGATAATTAGATAATTGGCACTCCACAATTGTACGCTTTTTAAGATAGTTTTTGCCTCGCACAGCTAATACGAGTAAATAAAACAAGTTATCGTCTGCGGTATTTCCGGACCGATACGACCTTCAAAAAAAGAGCGTACTCCTTCCCCAAAGGCTGGCAACGCTCTTTTAGGACTCCTGGTTGCAGGCGTTCATGGGCGGTGGTAGTCACTTTCCAGTTTGGTCTGCTCGTTTGCCTCCTCTGCCTTAAAAAAAAGATATTAGTAGTTTCTGCACTGACAGTAGCTGTTTGTACAAATTGTAAAATAACCTTGGTGTTAAAGTTAGCGTTGTCTGTACTTTCTAATATCTTATTACGCCAACCTGTCTATTGCCGCAAACATTTGTAAAGAAGTCAGCTTTTTTATAACTGTTTATTAGGTATAAAGTCACCGTTTAGGGGCATCACTCAGATTCTTTAAGTAAATAACGCATAAAAGTTTCCTTCCTTTTATAAGACGACTAAGTAGAAACTGATTTATTCAAGGCGACATAACACGTTAAAGCACACAGCAGACATTGTGTCTCCTAGAAATTATAAACAAAGGTTGTTAGACCTAAATACACAGTAATTTCTTCAAAGTAACTTCAAAATCCTATTTGATTAAAACGCGTTGTGCAAAAAAAGCGGAGATCTAAGAGTTAACTAATTAGTAAATCAATAACATATAAGAAAGTACACACCGCTACCTATATACACAATAGCCACAATTTTACACACACATTTTTAAATATTATATTTAATATACACTTGCCATTCTATCACGTTCTTGTTGGTTGCTCGCGGCACATTATAATTAGAACATTTAGCCGGCCATATATAATAACCTCATTTAACTTGCATAATGATTATCATCACGCAAATTCTATTGTGTAAATTCTAAAATAGTATAGGAGCTGGTCGATTCAGATACTGCCAATTGTACTAAAGTGGAGAACTCATCCAAGTGTTCACAAGTCTTAAACTGCAATTCCCAGTCCAGCGATCGATGCATACTATGTCTAAATGTAGGCGGTATATATTGTACTTTTGACTTACTACTTGCTTTTATGACTACCCTTGGAACAACAGTATACATAATTGTACTCACAGAGTGTTTGACAATAAAAGGACTTCCTCTGCCGACTTTGAGCGAGTACAATACATATTATTCGAAAAAGAACCTAAACCAAAATGATGGCTTAGTCGTATATGCTCGAAAAAAAATAAATGGCAAGGCTTCTGAACCGGACATATCTGAGAGTAACTGCTTGATACTAGATATTAACGGGTACAGCGTAGTGTGTTCGTATAGACCACCCTGCTACAGTAAATATATCGCAAATATATCGAGTCGTTGGATAACCTCTGCAAGAAAATTAACAACAAAAATATTGTTTTTACGGGTGATATAAACATCAACACCTTGCCTTGTAGCGTCGTTGTAAATGATTCTGTCAATGACTATTCGTGTCTTATGGTGACACATGGTCCATGGTTAATTCGTAGTTTAGTTTAGATATAGTATCTTTACCATTTTTACATAAATACTTTTTTTGGTTTTCAAATTTTCGCCGGAGTGATTTTTATAATGAAACATGAATCTGAAAAATATATGAATATCATGTCAATTAGGCAAATTAGTGGACGTTTAGTAAAAAAATTGTAACTGTTAGTAATAATACGAACTAAAACAAAGTCTAAAAATAAACAGTAAAATAACTTTAGTTTAACTACATACCAACTCAAGCACATTCCTGAGGGCACCATCAACTGCCTCTTCGGATATCACGACTGTGCCACCCTCGTAGCCAATGCCACCACATGTGCCGATTCTGAAGAACACCGGGTCACGCACCCTGGCGTGATACATCAGCTTGATCACTTCGTGCAGCAAGATTCCCACCGACGGTATTCCCATCCCATGCTGGAAACGTTAGTTATAGAATGTAATGGAAATTCAGAGTTAGGCTCATTGTTTCGTACATACGAGTATATGTTGATGTTAAAATTGTTCCATTAAACCTTTATGATAGCTATTAATATTTTTGTTATCTAAACGTCTATTACGTTTACATCTACGTATGTCACTTTTACGTCTACTCGTACTTATCTTACGTATGTCACGCGGCGTAACGAAAAAAAATAAACCTTGTACTATTGAATTAATCAACTAACATAATATTATTGCCTTAACCTATAAAGTGATACAGTCATACTCATAAAAGGAAATGCACTATCACCAAAGTAACAATTCTATTTGGCTTATATTTAAAGAAATCGTAGCTACGAACTGGAGGGAAAATAGTACGGAAACTGTTTCAAAATGGTAACATGTATTCTGCTAACAGCTAAAACATTTGTACTAAATTGTTAGAGCGTGCGATAAATTACTGTATGAAATGTGCATATCAACATTTATAATAACAAATATTTTCACTGACGAACGGAAACTGTTTTTGACTTAAGTTAAGGACAACCTTTGAAAATATTTCGAGACAGATAAAAATATTAGATAAAATTTATTACCTTGGGTGATCAATCACGTTTGTTTGTATTCGATTATATTGCGGTCGCGCGAGCATTGATAACATTATCTAAATTATATCTGTATGAGTATACAGGCACCTGTTGTACCGTACACCTAGTTTCATTTTGGTCCTTCCAAACCGTTATTATAGTTTATTAAAAGATATGTTTAAAATTTATTAAATAATATAGTAGAAGAGTAATATTACATAATATTTGAAAATAAATGGTTCTTCCTTCCTTCTTAATAGTCATGCTCTTCGGTGTCATAATATGTTACTTATAAAAAGGAAAACTTTACTTCTTTCTTAAAAAAAAATCATAGTGTTTTAAATATTTCATAATATGTAAACAATATCATAGTATTCAATGAAAAACACACTTCAGTTACACAACTGTATAAAATAGTAATCAGTAATAAAATAGTACCTACTCCCGAATTTTATAATTAGCAGTAATACAATGTGTAAATGTAAATTTAAGTTGTACTTAGCAATAAAAAATTTCGTCAGACAACCCATTGATATCCTATGGTTATTTGCTTTCTAAATCATCTATGCAATAGTCACTATATTTAATTCAGGCTCTATTTCATTTTTTATTGTTAGTTTTTTTAGTAAGTACTTAATAGCTCTAGTATTTAAGATGATTCTAATGAATGTCACACAAAAGCCGAAATGGAATAACTATATTTAAGATTAATTCTTTTTGTGGCGTTATTCTTATGTACAAAGATAGATACCTACTGGAAATAAATGCAAAATATTAACAACACAAGGAGGGAACAGAATAAACAAAAAACAGAATAATAAATCTTACAGCCACAATACCTATTAATTATTATTACGCAAATAAATACTGTAAAGGTTATTTAAAGCTATATGTATATATATATATATATATATATATATATATATATATATATACATATAGCTTTAAATAACCCTTTAAAAACCTAACAAACCTGCTACGAGTATATATCTTTATTTATTGAGTATGCTGAATGAAACTCAATTCGTTTTAATTGTAAAAATGCAGAATCATTAATACTGATCTATGCTATACTTATTACTATACTTTTCATTATCTCATCTCAATTGGTACGATCGAGCATTTTCTGTATCATGCCCACGAGTTAATATTATTCAAGGATGTTGAACGTCACGGATATTAAAAAGTAACCATTCCAGCACGTGTATGCTTTATGTTTATTATTAATCTAAATCAATACTAATTTCAATGTCTTATTTATTTTTCCGTCCGGTGTCCGGTGTCCATTAGTCCGTGTGGTGACGGATTAAGAATACAAATTGTCACCACCCCAATTCATCCCGTGGGTGTCGTAAGAGCCGACTAAGGGAGCAAACTAAGCAGGACAACAGCACTGCAAAGAGAAGGAAAACTTGAAACAAACCCTATACCAACCCGTCTGGCCAGCGTGGTATAGTAGGCCAAAACCTCCTTTCTAAGGAGAGGCCTATGTCCAGCAGTGGACTATTATAGGCTGTTGATGTGATTGATGATTTATTTTTATTTCATTCCTATTATTTGTCACTGATTTTGTTTTATTGTAAAATTGTAGCATCAAGTGTTTTCTCTCCGTGTGGTAAAGGATTAAGAATACGGATTGTCACTACCTCTATTCATCCCGTGGGTGGCATAAGCGCCGACTAAGGGAGCAAACTACGCAGGATAACAGCACTGCAAAGAGAAGGAAAACTTGCAACAAACTATATACCAACCCAGCGTGGTATAACTGGTATAGGATTAAACCTAGTTTCTAAAGAGTGTCCAGCAGTGGACTATTAAAGGTTGTTGATGATGATGATAAAGCCATTTCTATGGGAATTGTTGTGTGTACTTGTAATGGACAGGTATTACCTATTATCTACTGCCAATATTTATAAGAATGTAGAGTATGTATGCTGTTGGTACACCAAATGAATAAATAAATATAATACTGTAATTGTTGTCATGTTACAAAAAAATCTATAATTAAATTCGTATGTGGGTCACATACGAATCCGATCATATTATAAGGATTACATACTCTTGATAAAAACCACAACTGAGAACATTCTATTGACAATATCATATGTAAAAATCTGTGAAACGGCATAGGTTGTAGATCATGATAAACGGAAACAAATGCATGAAACGAATTATCCTCATTAGAAAAGGCTTGTACGACGTGCAGTGCGGAGTAGATACAGCCAGGCACTTACTGACAGGTTGTAAGGCGCTATTAGACCGGGGTCATTATTCACGTCGCCATGATAGGGTATTACAAATCATACGCGAAGCTATAAGTTTATCGCTGGCGAGAGCAAAAAAAGGAATTACAAAAAACATAAGAACTAACATCGCGTTTGTAAAGGAAGGCTCAACAAAAAAGATTTCACAAAAGCAGTACTCAATTATAAATACCATTATTAGTGGACTCGTATGAAAATCATAACAATACCGAAGGATATCTGTGCCTCAGCGTCCAGACCAGACATATTAATAATAAAGAAATATCTTTATGCAATTACAATGAAGCATGTAGTACTAGTAGAACTCACGGTGCCGTGAGAAATGCACATCCCTAAAGACCACGCTTTAAAAAGAAACAAGTACTTTGACTAAACCAACAAAATAACTAAAAATGGTTATTTCGATGTGTTGTATGCCGTGGAAGTGGGTGCGAGGGGTATACCAGCTAAATCTTTATAACCTGCTTAAAGACCTTCGATTGCCAAGAGCTTTAGTAAGCTCTTTTCTTGAACGAATGTCCGAAGCGGCATTGCTAGGCTCGTATCAAATATGGTTAGGAAGAAGGGGTAACACAGCAGACGGTGGAGATGAGCGCTGATGCGTCGCAAGGAGTACTCCCTAAACCTAAACCTAGGTCGCTAGTCTCAGGCGCTGTCGAAGTCGCATGTGTTGCCCCCATCTATCACGCGATGGACCCGGCACCCGCACGGTGAATCCGAATCTGAAGTCCTAATATGATGCAATAGGTCTTTTAAAAAAGAAGATAAATCTAATGAGGGAAGGAATTTAAACCCATTTTAGAAATTATCAGCATTACCAGTTCTCTGCGCAACTGACATTCAATCTAACCCTAAATAAATCAATATGGCTATGAAAATATTTTGACTACGACAATAAGAAAATGAAGGCATGCATACAAAATATATTTTAACATTGGCTCATTCGTACTCTGCAGTCTTACGCAATGTGCAGAGTTACAGATGGGTAGAATCACTATTGTAATAAACTTTTAAAACACTAGTGCAACTTATTGTCGTTTTATAGTCATTATGATCTCTTTCATCATCTTTTATCTCCGAAAGGTTTGACAATATATTTATTAATACGACACATTTTTAGGAAACAAGCCTATTCCCGTCAACCGGACACATATATTTCTAAGTACACATATTTATTTAGTCATAAATACGTACAAGTTATAGAAAAAATTATACAATCATACGATTTCTGTTCTAGGTGGAAATCGGACCTACGATCACTGGCTTAGCAGTTAAAATCGTTATCCACTAGAGACCTCTTGCTCTTGCGAAGAATCTCCTAACCTTTTGCTGTACCATCGTCATTGTGATATAATGATAATAAACCATAATAATAAAATCAAATCAAAACCGATTGATGTTGTAAATTAACAATAGCTATCGTAGCGATATGAAATTCAGCGATACGAATTTATGAACAGAGTGCAGTCCAATTAAAGTCAATTGAAGGTTATTTATTGCTGCAATAACGAGTCAGTGTAACTAGCAACAAATACTCCGTCTACCATGATCATAAGATAGTTATCATATGCTTATGTTTACTTGGTTATATGTACTCGTATATTCGAAATTTAAAAGATTTATCACAATAATAATAATACTTCACTTCAATTCACTTCACTTCACTTAATAATACTTTTTTTGTCATAAGATTTTCAACTCAGGTGTATATTTATTTTTATCGTGTTGGCTTGTTATTAAAGCCATTACATAAATAAAATTTTAAGATTTATATAAAAGATCTGGTCAGCTGTAGGTCGCAGAGGTCGCGTTTTTATATTTCCGAGTAGGTCAGGGACAAAAAGTATTTTACTACTCTGGTAACTAGGTATCGCTTATAATATATGTTCTAACTTCTCCTGAAAGCCCCATTTCCCGTCCTTATGCATCTGAGGTCTAAGATTTGCCGATATAAGACTAACACAGAAACATGAAATTTCTGCTATAAAGCAAACTGAGTAACGTTATACCCCGTGCAAACTTATTGAAAGTGCCTTCAATAGTATTAAATAAGAAAGTGGAGAATTACAGTATCCTAATTACAGATTCGTCTTGATAAAAATACATCAATAAGCAACTCTGGATTAGGAATCGTAAATATGGTTATTTAATTTCAAAAACAAAAAAGCGGTGTGCGGGAGGGTAGCCCGAAATTAATGTTTAAAAACTCTACCACTTCAAAATCGAGGCAGTATTTGACATGAACAAAAATGGTATTTGTTAAAAACAAATTAAATGTGTTGGTAATAATTTTCTTTTTTAAGATGCCTAACCTACTACCATTCTATATTACGCATATCTAATAATTTTACAAATGCGAATGTAATTCCAAATATATATGTCAATTTAATTTTGAGGTAATTTTGATTCTACAGCCTAATTAAGTACTTCTTAAATCAATATCACATTTTTCCGTTTGGAAATTTTTATTAATTACTTTTAAATGCATTTTTTTTTAAAGTTAAGCTATGCAAAACTTACACTGATACAAAGTACAGGTCCAACTTTGTACATAGAGTATCTGTATGAGAACTGACTGATGTCCTGTAGCGTCGTGCCGCACGGCAACTTGTGCCCTATCTCGGCCATGATCGTGTACGCGAACTGTTCCATCCGCTTGGGGGTGCCACCCATACATACAAACTGCAAAAAAAAAACATAAAAAACCCGTTTGAAACTATTTGCTCTTAACAGGACGAACTAAATTAGTAGTTAGAGAACTGGAAATCACCAATAATAAAAGTCTTAGTAAAACCTAAACCAAGTTAAATGCTGTAATTTTTTATAACATTGATCGCTTAAAATATTTCATTAGTGTGCCTAGAATTATTATAATATATTTGACTAACAATTGAAGATGCTGTTAAATGTGGCTAGTAAGATTCGAAACAATATTTTACTTGTATTAAAAGATTTATTTAGCTTTAATTTAATTGTATCAAGGTAAAGTCAGTCTTTCTACAGAAGCTTTTGTAGTCGTTACTACCAAATACATATGTGTATTTAAGCGTAATTTTGTGTTTTTGCTGTTGTGTAAAGTGGGATCCCTTCTTTTCTCATAACGTTGTTTTTCTTAACATAGAGTTTTTTTTTTTTATACTTTGCCGTAATTGTTTTCGGCATACAGGTTATCTCTAAAGCAGTCGCTTAATGTTACTAGGCATAATGATGTAAAGTATCTAGATATGTACAGGATTAGTTACGGCTACTCTCACCAGTTTAGCATTAGGTAGACCGTATGCTTGTTTATCAACAGAGAGAACAGATTTTATGATACCAGATAACGTTGTGCCTTTTAAACATCAAACAAAGAATTTCCATATACTAACAGGGATAAAAAATCACATTTCTAGTACCTTGACATCGCCAAACATTTCAACGAGATCGTGAGAGCCGCTACCGAGTGCCAAATGATACAAAATATCCTGGTCCATGAGCTCGATGTTTGGGTTTCGTAGCCGCACAGTGCCATCGGGATACCTGTGACATGAGAAGTTAGTTAAACACTTTTTACGATTTTGTACACAATACTGGGCACATGGGTCACACATTATTAAGTTGTATTCTTGTGAATTGCTCCAGCTAAGCTAAACGATTGTATTGGTAGTACGAACTACTTCAAACCTACAAACAATATTTTATGCATAAATTGTACAAAGGCGGCCTTAATTACCAATTCATTAAATTGACAGTCAAGCTTTGGGTAATACAGAAATAAAAATGTCATAATTGCGAAGACATTTTAAACTAAGAAGAGAAGAGAGATAGGGATTAAAAAAAATATATCAACTTTACGAATTAAAAGTTTTGTAATCATTTCTTTGAGTAAGTTTTAATATTATAATAAATATTAATCTCCTATAAAGATATTTACAAATATAATATCAGAAGGAATAATATTACATTCGATAAAACAGTTTGTACATAAAACACTGAGTCATTCCTTCTCGAAAATGTATACTTAAGGATACTCATTTGGATTTCACTAGACAATAAATTGGGTACAGTAACACAGAGAACGTTTAGCTTCGGGAATTGTATTTACATATATTGTTAAAGAAGGTAAGAAACGTTCAGGATGTAATAAAAAAAAGAAGCCTTATTTATTATTTTCCTTATATATAATGTGTTGATATAAAGTATATCGACCTAACGCTTTCTACGTCTACTGCGTCAGCATGTTCAACGTCCTTCTGCTTGGGTTCTTCAAATTCATTGGTATCGTGAAACTTTCGGTGCGGGTGGTGAACGTGGGTTGTGGCTTTAGATTGGCTTTCTGACGAGCGGGAACCATTGCACTCGTTCTGATGCTCACACGAGTCTACAACTTCCATTTCGCAGTTGCAAGGCATAATCTTCTTGCTTTTCGATATCTAAGTAAATAAAAAACAAATTTTAAGTCTATTATATCATATTGCAAAAAATAAAGCTACTATAAGCAGACACTATTAGTTATTTTTTGCTTAATTTTGAAGCAAATTGCGACATGGTCAAATATAAAGATTTCTTGTATCAAATTACATCATAGGTAATGGATAATAAGGTTATCGCGTAATGTGATTATAATACGTACTCTTTTTGTGATAGGAATAACGTTGATATTATCTGTTTGCAAACAATTTTACCAAGGCCAAAAATGAATCGATCAAGAACAATAAAGTAAAGGCTCGTAATGACTTTACACGGTACTCGTAATGACTGAACACACGTACGGTATGCTATTTAAATTCTTGTATAAACCCATATTAAACGGAAACTGACTAGCTACGATAAATTTAAGTATTTATAAAGAAATTTAAAAGAAAAATTATTTGTTATTCATATCTAAATTAGAAATCATTAAACTTGAGGACTTACCCTTAATTATTAATTGAGAGGCTTGACTTTCTGTATGACACTGTTTTTAATAACAGTAAACACAATCACTATAATTGACCAAGACAAACTCTGTCCATACGTAACGTAATGTTTCATTGATTTACCAACCGAAACTAATTTAAAACTTAAGCTGTAAACTGAACAGCTCTAGTAAAATTACCGCAGAGTACACAAAAACTTATATTACAACACGCATTTTTTTTTGTATCTCAAAATAATCTCATGCACACCATGTACAATCGCAAATTATAAATAATACTACAACGTGTGCTATCTAAGTGAAGGGTCGATGTATAATGAAATGAAACGCTGTTCGCCATCACACCATCACGGTTAGTCACACAATTTTGCACTATTCGTAGAATATGCGTTGACTTCATTCCATGAATGATTCGCGGAAGTTGGTGCAAAAAATAAGCCTTGCTTGTTAGTGGCTTTTTTGAGAGGTTTCACATTTCGTGCAATTCGAGACCTTATTATTTTTTGTGGCATTGACATTTGACAAATAACTAGAGAATGTATTTTATCTTATAAACCAGAGAATGTATTTTATCTTATTTGACGAAAAACTAATCATCAGATGAAACAGGTTAGAAAAGACTAAGTATTATATACCAAAGTCAATAGTAGCATCTGGAACATACGAGCCAGTATGTACAATTTGCGAGAACAATTACTTAGCGAGGACTAAGTATACGGGCACGCCGTCATCGCGGCGGTAAGACCCGTTATGGAGGATTGGCTTGAGAGGCGTCACGGGACCCTCTCATACCGACTGAAGCAGGTGATCACTGGGAAAGGATGTTTCGGGGATCACCTGTGTCTGATCCGCAAGGAGCCAACGTCTGAGTGCCATCACTACGATGGCCAGACCGTGGACACGGCTCTCCATGCGCTGGCAGTGTGCCCGGCGTGGGTTGAGCAGAGGCGAGACCTCGTGGCGGCCATCGGAGTGGGAGTTCTCTCGCTCGATAGCCTGATTGCGGCTATCGTGCGGAGCGAGAGTGCGTGAAACTCTGCCGTCTCCTTCTGCGAGCAAGGCATGCTCGCGAAGGAGACGGCGGAGCGGGACCGGGAGAGGTTTAGAACTCTCTAGAAGCGAGCGTGTTGCAAAGCGCGCTCGCTTCCAGAGAACATGGGGTTTAACACACGGGGGGGGGGTCGTCTACTCGTCTGTAGATGGCCCGAGGTATGTCGCGGCACCAGGAACTTCCTTTCTAGGGTATACCTGGTTCCCCGGCTATTAGTACCCGAGACGGCGTGAGGTTTTAGTCGGTTCGTGTCCGACATGTAAAGGTAGCAGTAAAAAAAATACAAGCGAAATAAAAACTCTGAACGTGAATCTCTGACAGTTCTACTCAGAAACAAAAAAAAACGTCATATAGCGGTAGTTTTATTTTTTGTAGTTGTTAACAATTGTGTGTAGCCGAACTGGACCAGTACATAAAACCTGCACTTGTACGAGTACTATAAATATGTCTTTCAACGATCTGATGAGAGATCAAAGTAATCTACTATCTCGTGAAAAGAAAGGAGATGCTGGAGAGTCCTGATCGTGACCCCTGGGGTAGCCCTTATCGCGCGGTCCGACAAAAGCTCCGCGCGTCGGGCCCCCCCTTACGAGCCTCTCCAGCCCAGCTTCCTGCAGGAAGCTGGGCTTCCTACCACTGTACAACTGTAGAGGGCCTATTCCCGAAACAGAATGGAGCACACAGCCCCGTCAATGGCCTCCTTGGCCGAAAACGACAGGGAGAACGGGGATCATCCCCGTTCTCCCTGTCGTCCGCCCCTACCAATGACTACTGGATGTAGGGGCGGTTGGTCTACGGATCCGTTCCAAGAAGACCGCCCCTGGGCCAGACGGGATACCGGCCCGAGTGCTGGTCCTAGCCCTCAACCATATGGGAGACCGCCTCGGGATGGTGTTCGACGCCTGCTTGTCGCATGGTGTCGGCCCATGTCGTGCGGTATTCCGCAGGGGTCTGTTCTTGGACCCCTCCTATGGAACATAGGGTACAAGTGGGCCCTTCGAGCAGATTTACCCCTGGGCTAGGTGTAATTTGTTACGCCGATGACACATTGGTCACAGCCCGGGGGGGTGAACTTCTAAGAGGCGACACGCCTGGCCACCAGGGGAGTCTCTCTAATGATCGAGCGCTGGGCTTACGGGTGGCCCTGGATAAGTCGGTGGCCCTCTTATTTCATGGGCCCCGTCATGATCTTCCCTCAATTATTGTCAACTCGGTCCTCGTACCGGTTCAGGCCGAATGCATGGCATGAAGTATCTGGGCCTGATCATTGACGGGAGGTGGCTCTTCGAAGATCACTTCCGACAGCTTGCTCCAAGGCTGGTCGGCGCTGCGTCTGCCCCTGGGCGACTTTTGCCTAATCTGGGTGGACCTAGCGTCGCGGCGAGACGGCTGTACACGGGGGTTGTGCGGTCAATGGTACTGTACGCCGCACCGGTGTGGGCAGCGGCTCTAACCGCCCATAATAGCGCACGCCATTGGCGTTCTTAGAGGGTATTGGCGGTTAGAGTCATATGTGGATACCGCACCGTGTCGTCGGAGGCAGCGTGCGCGTTGGCATAAACTCTCCCGTGGGATTTGGAGGCGGAAGTGCTCGGCGAAGTATATCACGGCTGAGTTCCGGACGGTTAGCGGCAGTCGGCCCCCGCCCGAAAAAGTACGCGAGTTGCGCGAAGCCGCTCGCTAAGCCACGAAGGCTCGTTGGTCGTCACGGCTGGAGGCTCCGGAGAGGGCCCGGGAGGGTAATCTCCAGTCGGACCCAATTCGCCGCCGACTAACCGGGCGGAGGAGGCGCGCTTACCAGCGCCAGCGCCTCATGCTGCTTGAGTGCGGCCGCGGGTGGACGGGACGGGTTTTCTCTTGCACCCGTCATAACGACCACTCGCGTGGTTTTAGTCGGTCCGATTCCGACACACCACCCCGCCGTAAGCCCCGATGGGGTGACGGCCCGAAGGGGCTTCCATACGGAAAAAAAACTACTATCTCCAAATATTATTCAAGTTTATCATCATTTTATGTGAACGGTGTGGTGACGGATTAAGAATACTGAGTGTCACCTCCCCTATTCATCCCGTGGGTGTCGTAAGAGCCGACTGAGGGAATAAACAGCGCAGGACAACAGCACTGCAAAGAGAAGGAAAACTTGAAACAAACACTATACCAACCCGTCTGGCCAGCGTGGTATAGTAGGCCAAAACCTCCATTCTAAGAAGAGGCCTATGTCCAGCAGTGGACTAGTAGAGGCTGTTGATGATGATGATGATTATGTGAATTTATAATATTTTTTTGAATTAGAGATAAAGAATAAAAAAAACCGGTAAGGTACGAGTCGAACTCGTGCGCCGAGGGTTCCGTACCTACCCAGATTTTACGTAAATTTTCGCGAAAATTAGTAAGTACCAAAATTTATCTTAATTTTCAACTTTTTTAGAGTTCCGTACCTCAAAAGGTAAAAACGGAACCCTTCTAAGATCACTTTCTTGTCCGTCTGTCTGTCGGTCCGTCTGTCCGTGTGTCACCACCGATTTTCTCAAGAACGGGTAGACCTAGCAAATTAAAATTTATACCAGATACTGAGCTCTATGGTCCCTATTAGGTGTATAAAAATCAAGGTCCTGAGTCAACACGATAAAAATATATGGGCAAATTTCGATTTTCGGGAAAACTTGTAAGTACCAAAATTTACCTTAATTTTCTACTTATTTATTTTTCAGAATTTTCTCTTTAATTGTGCTGTAAGACCTTGCTTTTAACCAAAATTGACAATTCTAGGTGAACCGGAAGTACCCTATAGGTTTTGAGTCGAAGACCTATATGGTAGGTCTCATTGATCTAGACTCACGAAACTTGGTTAAAAAACAAAAAAAAATGAAAAACGTCTTACAGCACAAATAAAGGAATAATTCCAAAAAATTAAAAAGTTGAAAATTAAGATAAATTTTGGTACTTACAAATTTTCGCGAAAATCTACGTAAAATCTGGGTAGGTACGGAAAACTCGGCGCACGAGTTCGACTCGTACCTGACCGGTTTTTTTAAAGACAGACAGACGGACAAGAAAGTGATCTTATAAGGGTTCCGTTTTTACCTTTTGAGGTACGGAACCCTAAAAACTATCTAGTATCTAGATTAAATAGACATTACTATTGTTAATGCAATAGATATGTTCTGTTTCGTGAAATAGAGTAATAGAGCATAGACATAATTAAGTGTATGTGTGTTTTTGTTAATACATTCACACCCTTTTGAATATCCCAGTGATTACCAAACACGTTGATTTTAAGACGTACTTCAAACAAATTGTTCATTAAATTACAAAAAATTTTACGAAATGGTTTTAAGTACAGTCGAAACACGTGAGTGTTACAGTCGAAACACGTTAGTGTTGTGTAATTTACGAACATTGCACCGACAATTACGACTGTTTTC